TTGCAGCAAATTGCAGCATGTTGCAAGCTGGTCGCGCATAGGGCAAGTGCGCGAGGGACTCGGATCGGCAAAACAAAAAGCCGAGCAACACGAGTAGAGCAGAAAAAGGATCGATAAATCAATACAATCAATCATCATCCCATACATCATATCCAAACCCATCATTCATCTCAGGAAGCCCAGAAACAGTGCTTCAATCTGACAACGGCACAGGCAAGACAATGGGTCCGAATACGGTAGGAATCCACTCAGAGGCATATGGGAGTGCGTGGGGACTTGGAACCTGGGAATGCCATTAACACCTATAGGCCTTGTACAAAAGGATATCAGAAAACTACTAAGCTAGCTATAAGGGCAAGGTGCGACTAAATATATAAAAGAATAGGGGTAACTGCAGGGGACAGGATGTTACGGTCTATGGTTGGACCGACGTAACTCCACCAGAAGTGCTCCACAATCTAGCCAGGTTGGGACAGAGCTCGTTTACGAACCAATTAGAAGATACAGAGGCAGCGCAGCTGCCTAGGATTACAGAAGAATGTATTGTCTAGTAGGAGAACAAGCTAAGGAGCTAGCTGTAACGGCACAGGCAAGACAATGGGTCCGAATGCGGTGGGAATCCACTCAGAGGCATATGGGAGTGCGTGGGGACTCTGAACCTGGGAATGCCATTAACACCTATAGGCCTTTAACAAAAGAATATTAGAAAACTACCAAGCTAGCTACAAAGGCAAGGTGCGACTAAATACATAAGGGAATAATAGTAACAGTAGAGGGCTAGGCAGAGTTAAGTTAGGGTTAAGCCAGGGTTAGAGTTAATACAGAGACCCTTCAGATAGGTTCTAGGCAACCTAAGATAGAACAATTTATAAGGATTATTACACTACCCCCCCTCTGTAGACTAATAGTCCCTATTAGTAGTAGTTATAGTACAAAGTATTGCTGTTATGTCCTCTGCATCCTTAAACTAAAACTAGTCTAATTTAGCTAGGTGTCCTTACTAAGTATTCCTTCACACTGTAATGGCGCAGGCAAGACAATGGGTCCAAATGCGGTATGAATCCACTCAGAGGCATATGGGAGTGCGTGGGGACTCAGAGACCTGGGAATACCAATGACAATGTAACGGCGCAGGCAAGACAATGGGTCCGAATGCGGTATGAATCCACTCAGAGGCATATGGGAGTGCGTGGGGACTCAGAGACCTGGGAATACCAATGACACCTATAGGCCTTGTACGTAGGATATCAGAAAACTACCGAGCTAGCTACGGGGGCGAGGTGCGACTAAATACATGAGGGAATAGGGGTAACTGCGGGGGACTGGGTCGAGTCATGGTCGGGGCCGATACGGGGACCCTTCGGATAGGATCCGAGCGACCCGAGATGGAATGATTCGTAGAATCGTTACACACACTGCCAGCAGTGTCCTCCACACCTAACGCTATGTGCGCCTGTTCTAATAGTAATCTATATAGATGTCTAGCCTGTTAATTATTAAGACCTTTATTTATTGCTATCTATGTAGTTATTAATCTTAGGTGTGTGTTTAGTGTAGTAGCATTTAAGCGTTGTTAGGGGTGCCTTAAAGGTCTCTTGCTATTAGAGTAGCAAGGGTAATTTAAGGCATTATTAGAGGTAATTTAGCAGTTAGAGGTTAGTAGTTAAAAGTTAGGCATTAGCAGTTGCCTCTAATTCTAATAAGTTATTAGTAGTCTTTAGGTTTCTACCTTAGCGCATTCTTTACAACTTTTCTAAAAGCAATTCTAATTACAGAGGATAGAAAGTTCTAAACCTAAAAGCTTTAGTTAACTAAAGGTTAATAAGATCTAGTCTATAGACTAAATAGTTTAATATAACAGTGTGTAAGTATTATAACCTAAACTAAATTAGACGCGTCTTAGAGCTTAGACGTAGTTAAACAAATAATTAGTGTAATATTATATAAGGCTGTTACTAGCAAAAGTAAGTTTTTTAATATAATGTAACAGCACAGGCAAGACAATAGGTCTAAATGCGGTAGGAATCCACTTAGAGGCATATAGAAGTGCGTAGGGACTCTAAACCTAGGAATGCTATTAACATCTATAGGCCTTATACAAAAGGATATTAGAAAACTACTAAGCTAGCTACAGGGGCAAGGTGCAACTAAATACATAAGGGAATAGGGGTAACAGCAGGGGGCTAGGCAGAGTTAAGTTAGGGTTGAGCCAGGGTTGGAGTCAGGGTCGAGCCAGGGTCGGAGTCGATACGGAGACCCTTCGGATAGGTTCCGGGCGACCCGAGATGGAACAATTCATGAGAATCGTTACACTAGCACAAGTTTAGACAAGCTTACTAGAGGACAGTAGTAGGAGCTTAAGAGAACTTGCGCTAACTTGTTCTTAGCACTATTAGACATGTATATAGTTCTAACCTTAAACAACCTTTAAAAGGTGTGTTTAACATTTAGTTTATTTTTTACATAGACTAAGTAGCATTCTAGCTTTATAATAAGCTATAATACTATTTGTATATCTTACAACATATATACCTCTAATTCTGTCTAACAGGACTGTTTAACCTAGCCTTTATACTGCTGTTACAGGGACAAACTACAATCTAGTCACCCTACCTCACTCTATTAGCCTCTTAGTTGTTACGTGGGACTGTACACCCTACTGTCAGCCCCTTCACATCCTGCCCTGCTCCTAGGGATAATATTAACCTACATGCTTCTACAAAGTAAGGATTGTAACATTAAACACTAACACTCTCTCTAAAAAGTATAACTACTTAACACAACCTTAATTCTAACATAGCCTATGCAGCTCTATTAGGATTATTAGAAGTTCTAGTAGCTAATAAAGAAGTCCTAGTAGAACAGATTAACACTATCTAGGACAACATAAAGAAACTCTAGTAGATTAGTAACAAGATTAGTAAACTAGCTAGCCTTTATAAAGAAGTAAAACACTTATATTAAAAAATAGCCTAATGTAATAACTAAGTTATGCTAATAACTTTTAAAGCAGCTACTTTGCAAATTTATGTACTGCAAGTAGATCTAGCAAAACTCTAAAATATATTAACTAAGAAAGCAAGCATTAAGGCTAAGAAGACTTTAAGACTAGCCCTTTTAAAGCCTTTTAAATGATTGCCTAAGAACCTTTAACTCTTTTTGTCGCGTACAGCTATCCGTCTATATATATCCTTCTGCTGTGCTAGCTAGAAGGTTGACCTTTTAGCAAAACGCAACACTTTTTTACTAGATGCTACTTTTATATGTAATATAACAAAGGAGCGTTCTAGACTAATGCAGAAATAATATTATAAATAGGATTATACTTAGAAGAACCGTTAGTAATATAGTTCTAGCTACATGTAAATAATTAGATAGACTTTAGAGCAAACAGCACTCTATTAAACCCTAAGACTAAAGAAATATTTAGTAGTGTAGACGCTTTTAAAGAAGCTCTAACTGCTATCTATAAAACTATAAATAAATAAAAAATTGCAGCTAATAAACTAGACACTCTACAACAAGAAAAAAGAACTACGTAATATTATGCAGCACACTTTAGAGAACAGCTAGCAATCTACAGATAGACAGACTAGAAAGCCCTCTGCAGGATGTTTTATAATAGTTTAAAAGACATAATAAAAAATAAATTTATACATAATAAAAAACTAACTACTCTTAAAATTTTTATTATAAAAGCAACACTTTATAACTAATAATAAGTATAAAAACCATAATAATAAAAAACAGCGTAGAGAAGCTTTTTAGAAACCTAAGTTTATTTCTAAAAAGAAAGAAGCCCTTTATTATAATAAAAAACTCATAGACCTTAGTTATGTAAAATATACATAGAGCCTCTCTTTTTAAAAAAGCTAAGCTTCTAAACGCAATAAGCTGCCTTTAACTAAGAAGTAATAAAAATAGCTAGAGGACAAGGCCTGTCTAAACTGTAGAAAAGTAGGACATTTCTGCTAAAACTGCCTAGACTTCTAGAAGAGGGAGAACAAAGATACTACTGTAATAATAAAAGCTATTACTACTAAATACAGCTTTATAGATAAGAAAATATTAGATAAATTAAACAACAGACTTTACTAGTAATATAAAGAAAACTATTCTTTAAAAAACTGTCTTAAAGTGTATTAGAAAGTAGTTATTATAAACTTTAGTAGCCTTAATTAAGTGTTGTAGAACATTGAAATTCTTAAAAGATACAAAAAAAAACTTAGATCTAAGAATATATTATAAATATTAAAAAGAAGAGAAATAATTCTCTTTTAATAATAAAACTCTTAGCACTTTAGCACTAGAGCTTTCTAAACAGTTCTAGAAATGCTTATGCTAGAAGTGTAAACAATAACATAACTACTTTAAAGAATGTATAGTATTACTCTACTAAATAAATATTAGCAACAACTATGCTATGTTTAAC